AATCTTCTCCCATTCTGATGGCTGTCTGCTTGCCTTACTTACTGTGTTCTTGGCTGTGCAGAAGCTCTTTAGTTTGATCAGGTCCCAATAGTGTATTCGTCATAATGTTTTTACTGTTATTTTTTATTTTGTTCCAATAATTATATAAAAGTTAATATTTCTGATAGTCTTTCCATCAAAAAACTGGTATTGAATGATTGGAATGCATGTTCCAAGCAAGTATAGCCAGAGAACAAAAATCAGCAGGCATGGAAGTTACGGAGATCAGCTTATTAACAAAACGCCACCATTTGAAGAAGTCGTATACAGCAAGGTGCCGATGAAGGACTAGAGACCTTATTTTCTAATACCAAAGTGACAAATCAAAGGAAATCTGCCTCCACCATGCACAAGTCACTTAGTCTCTCTCAAAGATTTACATTCATAGAAATATACTCCTTCAGAAAGTGCGTGTGGAATGCCCACTCCATAAAAAGCCTGGTTCCCAGCACCTGGGGAAGTGACCTCAGTCAACACAAAGAGTACAGCCACTGCCCTCTGGGCTTATGTCCTGGCACTTTCAGGGACTCAAATTCTAAGATCTGGACATATTTTAACCAATTAATTTCCATTTGGATCAAATAAAAGTCCCATGTAATTTAAACACTTCATTCATGCAAAGATAATAATTTAAATATTTTATATTTATATTCAATAACTTGTACTATGCCATAGCATATATTCAAGAAATTATTAGCCACTTTTTTCTGTAAGTTTACTTGATAGAAATTTCCATAAATTATATTTTATTTATTTATTTTTTGTATTAAGTCATATATACATAGATCATGAATACATTTATGCCCCTGTGGGATTCAGTGTGTTGACTATTTGTACAAATTGGAGTGCTTTCTTCATAAGCAATTACCTATGTAAGGTTTATGATGTAAAAATTTTCATCTTACATTTTATGTCATTAATACATTTCCATAAGGGATTTGGATGAGTTTCTATGAGCGTCCAGAACTCTTAGTACTTAACAAGTAGCTGAGCTCTCCTGAATCAGATCTTGAATAGAGAGCACCTACCATTCCCCGGCAGTGTAGAGCCTCACATGGAGAGCTTGTGTCTCAGGATCAAACTTGGTCCCAAGGGAACTAACGTAAAGAATTCTAGCAGACATCATGTTTCTGTTTCTTTGGTTTTTGTCCTTCTGCTGATAGCTTAATATTTCCTGGAGTACGACTGGGAGCTGACAGTCAATTCAGTGATTTTCTTGATGGATTGGGACCAGCCCAGCTTGTTGGCCGCCAAACCCTTGCCACCCCTGCCATGGGTAAGAATCATTTTTTTTTTTCCTGTAGGAAAACTGATGTTTTATGGTCGACAGGGTCATTTAAAATGTTTTATGGTTGACAGGGTCATTTAAAATAGCATAATAGTAATACGAACAAGAAGCAACATTTTAGCTAAGGTGTTGCTGAGTGCAAGGATTCTAGGCCGCTTTTGTAACTGGAGACATTATGCCAAATGAAATAAAATTAGTCATAATATTTGACTTGCCTGAAACTCCACCAAGACAGAGAGTCTATAATAGATACAAATATAGGGTAAGGGTGGTATTTCACAGCATGGAAATGAGTGATGGCCTAGTCAATACTCAGTAAAGGATGGTAGCATAATTGTTTAACCGAGTAAAAACAGTTAATGAAATTGTCTCCCTACTTCATAACTTACACACCAGTAATGTTACAGACCAGGCTTCCTCAAACTACAGCCTGCAGACCATATACAGCCCACCTAGGACATTTATCCAGCCCACTGGTGTTTTTGCCACC